CTTTTCTCTGCACATGCTCGATTTATCTCCCTTTTCCTCAGTCTCAAAACAAATGAATGTTGATAATTTGAAGGCCTAGAAAGCATGTGTTTTTCTGGAACAACTAAGGTTTGGCAATGACAACGTATGACGCATTATATTCTTTTTTGAAGTTAGAATAAAGAACTCTATTGATCTGTACAAAAATCCATTATGGCGTCCATAAGAAAAAATAAAGTTAATGCTGAAGGAGAAGAGACGAAACGGCATATTGAGATTCTAATTACGCCATCTTGTAGAGGAGACAAAGATGCAATGTTAACCTGCAATTTATTTCGGAATCCCATCTCAAAGGTCAGGAAAAATGAAAATGCTTTTGGGATAAATCTAGAAGGCGAAACAAATGACTATCTGAATATTTCAAGCCCTACCTTTGAAATTATGCTTTCTTGAAATAACTAAGATCTGGCAACGACAATGTATGATGTATTTTTGGAGACAGAATTAAAAATCCTATCCATTTGTGCATTTGTCGTCTATAAGAAAAAATAGAGTTGATCCTGGAGGACAACAGGAAAAACGTCATATTCAAATTTTAACTATACCATCAATTAGAGGAGGCAATGTTAATATACAATTTACTCAGGAATCCCACTATAAATAAAGTCATAAAAAAATCAAACGATTTTGGGAAAGTTTGGTTTTTATGGCTCTCTCCGGAAGTACATTGAATTTTGAAACTTTTTAAGCGGCATTTTATTGATTATCTAAATACGCAACTTTGCCCCAATATAAGCAGCTTCGTATCTCTTACAGTTGCCGAGATCTCAACAGTGAGGGTCTTTGAAATACCCTGTATATTATATATAAAATTTAAAAATGTATCAATCGGGTACCAATGTTAGAGTTATAGCACTCATACACAAATTATGTCATTGTTATTATGAATTATTCAAATTAATCACTGCATGTAAGTCGTCAACCTAAGTCGCAAACCTGCCATGTTACGGGGTAACTAGTAACGCCTAAGATCAAATTTATGTTCATCCTTTGCATAATGAGAAGCAAACAAATATCGGCGGAAACAGTAAGATGAATTAAATTTTATAACTAACACAGCAGCTTGTACGTATTTGGTGCAGACTTTCAAAGCTGTAACTTGATAATTTTATTCTGCCATTCGCCTTTAACTCAAAGCCTAAGGGTTTTATTTACTTGGATTTAATGGAAGGAAGAGTTTTATTCTTCATTAAATTTGAAGAGAGTATTACAAATAAATTCGACTTATAATGATTGAATATCCAATTGAATGTTCATGAAATTCAATGCTTATGCAATTTAAAAACAACTTTTAACGTTTATGGGACATGATGCAATATATCGTTTTGTTGACAGTTCTTCTACGAGTATTATGCATATGCAAGTAGCAGGGAATAAATGCTCCAGGAAATCAATTTTTGGTTTTGTTTTTTAACATTTGGTTGTATTTAGTGGAATTGCACGTATAATCAGTACAATATTTGAGTTGTGATCTACGAGTAATAAATGCGACAGTCTCTCAGAATTCTGAATCCTTGTCCAAATTTGGGCAATGAAGAATAGTACAGATTTCTCGGAAAATTGGCAGACTTTCTTTTTAGTACAGAAGTCTTTTTAGTCAAAGGTTAACATAAATTTAGTCTCAAACTTTAGTCGAACAAATCATCAAGCTTTTGCCGGTTCCTTCCTTTGTTATTTCTAGAATCTTCAGGCGTTAACCTCAAAAATAATACTTTTCAACAACTTCAGAGTTGCTGTGTTGTTAAATTATACTAAAATTCTTTTCGTTTACTCAATATCTAATTAGAATACTTGGAAGTTGGATTTCTCCAAGAACGTTTATGCTTGATACAAACACTTGAGAAAGTATTCAACAAAATTACTTTTAGTTCTGAACGTTAGAGATAGGAGTTTTAGATTTATGATCCCAGACAATGTAAAACTTTTACAGTTATTCGCAAAAAAAAACGTTCCACACTGAATATTTACGTAAAATCAACATGATAGCCTTTTACGAAAATGTGAAGCTTACATTTTATTTAAAAAGGTAGGCGTCTTGATATGTATATACGTAGGGCACGACATAATTTTTGTTATACGGAAAATCTATTTATTAGTACACATAGGCTTTCACGGCCGCTGTCAGTGATTTCCGTTGCTTCTTTCGGTCTTAGAGGCCGTGGGCTGGAATTTACATTTCCAAAGTTTTCTGCTACAACTGCGGTAGTCATCTTCAGTGGCGCTGCAATCAAGGTCTAAACGTTTGACGCGGTGGCTCGTTGGCGACTGATGCCGTCTCTGTTGGTACCTGCACCTGCGTATTTACCTGGTCTCGGTTAGCTTTGGACTGAACGTGGGGATTTCCAACATTTTGGGCCGCTTTGTGATTGTGGTTTGTTCGAGTCTACTGGAATATGGTATGCCATGTTTTGTTAAGGGATATTCCTTCATCTTTTCGGTTGCAATTGTTATTGTGTTTTTCAATTTCAATTGCCTATCTGAATAGACGAGTAGAATAATGTGTTGTATCCGGTATTTCAGTTTTGTTAAAGAGGACATTATGGTCGGCTTGAAGGAAGACGTGTTCTGCCACGACCGATTTATCTGTTCGTCTCATACGGCAGTTGCTTTTATGTTCTTTTATCCTGGTGTTAACACTTCTCTTTTCCACACGAACATGGGATTCTGTATACCCCTGCATAACTGAGTGGGCCCCTTTGGGTCTTTTGCCGATCGTTTGATGTTATGTTTGGATAGGATCTTCCCCATTCTATCTGTTATTCCTAAGAGGAATGGTAGGAAGGCATTTCCTTGTGGGGGTTCCCTCTCTTGCGTTTGGGCTTTCTGGGTCCTACTTCTTTTAGTACGTAGTGCCCGACTCATTTCGGATTCCTGATAGTCGTCTGCTTCTAAAACCTGATTTAAGTGTTTGTCCATCATCGTCAAAGTTTTGATGATCCCTCTTTTTTGCATTGGACGGCGGTTGGAGCCTTTGTTTTAAGTACCTGTCGGTGTTCGTGGCTTCGCGGTACACTTTGTGGCCTAGCCGGAGGTTATACGGTCTCGACACTAATTGCTTGTTTGTTCTGCTCAGTATCCATGGAACTGGATTTTGAGGTGCATGTTATTAATATGGTTTAAATAGGCAGAGTTCCGTTTCCTCGTGACGTGACGTGACGAGATTATAAAGAAATCGTCTACGTAACGTAGCCAGGAACTCGTTTTGAAGCCGTTATCAGGGCTCGTTCTTCAAACTTTTCCATATAAAAGTTCGCTATTACGGGGCTAGTGGGTTTCCCATTGCGACGCCGTCTTTCTGGTTGTAAAAATGTTGGTTCTACTGAAATAGGGGGTTGTTAGTTTGCAGCGAAATAGATCCAATATTTCTTCAGGGAACACTTCCTCCAGGTAGTTTAGGGATTGATCGAGGGGTACGCTGGTAAAGGGAGATGTAACGTGGAGGCTAACCAGTATGCCATCCGGAGTTAGAGTAATGTTGTGGAGCTTTTTTATGAAGTCTTAACGGCATGTTTGGTTTGTGGAGCTGAACACTCTTGGAGGGAGAGCCTCTAATTTGCACAGTTTCTTATTGGTCTCGGGCGTGAGTGATGAGGACTTGATTAACCGATTCGTTTTTCATACAATTCTTTGGGTTGGGTCTCAGCTTACTAACCTGTATGTTTGGGGGTCTAACAGTTCTTCTGTTTTTGTTTATAATCCTACGTGTTTAGAGTAACTGTGGCATTCCCCTTATCGGCTGGCAGAATCAATATGTTCTCCTCTTGCCTGAGTACCTTCCAAAATAATTTCCATAATTTTTTTTGGATTTATTGCTGAACCATACACCCAGAATTTAGGTTGGTTAAATGTCCAGTGTCCAGATATTCATGATAATTGTAACCTTAGATAGTTAAGCCAGTCTATGGCCCATTTAAGGGTGCTTATGGAAAAATAAAACAAAACATTTCAGTGACTGATATATTGTTTTGCGCTGTTATCCTAAATTCACCAGGGAGATTAAAAAACAAGACCTAAGACAAAGTAAGGACATACTTCACGCCTAGGGGCCTATCAAGGCGACTTTACACAATCCAGGACCATGGTAATAATTAGGGGTTAAACAGAGGATCGATAGCTAAGGTAACCCTAAACATTGAGATTACACATCCGAATAAGGTTACGCAGTTAATTGTTAATAATCACAAGTTACAAAATGCGGAAATAAGCCGCTACCAGTTGTCATGCTGATCAACTTTGCCATCTCAAATATTTATATGTACCGATATTTCTGGTTGTAGTATGTCTCAAGGGTAAAAACGCGACTTTCTTGATGAGTTTTTGTTTCTTGGTAGTCTCATTTCTTTTTGTGCACGTTGGGACTCTGTGAAACTCATAGCTATGTGAACAGCACCTCCGCCGCGCGCGCTTAACATTATGAGCATCTGTGACATTCATTCACAAAATTTGACGTTTCGATGTACATGTTTTGAGTGTGTTAAATTATTATATCTTACTGTTAAAAGGTAAGTTTGTGTATTTACAAACTTCAGTTACCATTTTTATTTAATTTACTAAATTGGTGATTGAGTGGAGACGAGTTCATAGACCGGCCATTGGGACTTTTCACCACATCACAATCAAACCAACGTGGCGAAATAATTTTGAAACGACGAACTTTAAGTACCTAATGTTGATTCCAAATGCATTTAAAATTACTATTATAACTTCAACCTGCCAACAAAAATATAAATCTCCCGGTGGCCAATATACTGTTGAATACATAACGTTATTAAGAAAAAATAATGGGCATTTAATTAGTAATTACATGTAGGTATTTTGCTTATTTATTTATTTATTACTTATTTGTTTTATTGTTATGGGTGCAAAAAGGAAGCAAAAAAAGGAAAGTTTACCGAATATTACGTTAAGTTTGGATTTGGACAGAAAAAGACGAGTTACAATTGCCTCAGTGTGTGATATGTATGAAAGTTTTAAGTAATGATAGCATGAGGCTCAATCACCTTGAAAGGCATTTGAAGCAACAACATCCTACTCTGATTTTGAAGACGAAAGAGTTTTTTTCTTCTAAAGCAGAATCACTCAAGCGGAAGAGACTGGATACATCGGGAAGTTATCACACAGGTGTATCGCAGCATCTCAAAGCTTCATTTGAAATAGCTTTTAGAATTAACTAAGAAAATGTGTCCTAAAAGTCACGCAGATAATTTTAGGAGAAGATGCAGAGCGAAAAATGAAGTCGATTTATCTTTCGAATAACACAGTCAAGTGTAGAATTAAAATAGTAAAATTATCGCCATTTTTTGCCATTAATCCCGATGCCGACATCGTTAATTGTGCATAGTTAATAGTTTATGTTCGTTACATCGGCAGAGATATCATTCAAGAAGAGATTTTGTGCTCCCAATCTTTGACAGCAGGTACTACATCTGAAAATATATAGTACTTAATTCCATATCAAATTTTGTTGAAAAAAATGATTTGGATTGGCTTTGCACAGATGGCGCACCTGCAATGATATGGTGGACGATCGGGCTTAGCTAGAAAGCTCAAGGAAAAAAATCCCGCAACGGTTAGTACAAATTGAGTTATTAATCGGCAAGCTTTGGCTTACAAAACATTGCCACAGACTAGTGCTTTGAACAGTCGGTTATTTACTTTACTTTGCGAGGATCTCGATTCTGATCACAAAGTTCTTTTGTTCCATACAGAAGTACGCTGGCTGTCCAAAGGCAACATGTTGGCTCGCCTTTATGAATTGAAAGAAGAGGTAATTCTTTTTCTTGAGTTCAAAGAAAAAACACGATTTCTTGACAATGTTCAAAGATGACACATTTCAGTGGAGGTTGGCTTATTTAACTGACACATCCAACTCCTTGAATGAGCTAAACTTGAAACTTTGGGGCAGAAACAACACTATAATAAGCAATTATGATTATATTCAGGGATTCATATCAAAGCTTCAACTTTGGAATCAAAAAGTGTCTTCTGAAAATGATATATATTTTTCTCGGCTGTTCGAAGCAACTAAAGATAACATACTAGACGCAAATTTAAAAGCTGACATAAAGACTCATTTGCAAGCGCTAGAAGACGAATTTCTCCGATACTATCGAGACATCAATACGGAGTCACCAATATGGCACATGACAAGAAATCAATTTGTTGTCGATGTGTCACAATTACCAGAAGAAGTTCAGGAAGAATTTCTAGAAATGAAGGCTGATTCGTCCATGAAAGATTACTTCCATCTTTTAACATTGGAAAAATGTTGGAGCAAAAGATTGCCTGCTAATTCGACACTTGCCTCTCTTGCTTTAAGAATGCTAGTTCCTTTTCCTTACTTACTTATGTGAGACAGGCTTTTCCGCTCCAGTTGTAATTAAAATTAAACAGCAAAATCGTCTTGATGTCGATAGCGACTTGATGATAGCTCTGCCAAAAACAGAACCTATAATGAACCACCTGGTACAGAACGTGCAATCTCAAGTGTCTCGTTAGAACCTACTCCTGTTTTATTCAAGTTTGTCGATAAAAAAACATTTAGTTTATTTAAACTTTTAAAGTTTCTTTATTAGAATTAAAATAAAAGTGTTTGTACCTATATAATGTGCGTTTCTTTTGTATTTATTGAAACAGTAAAGGGGAAGCATGAAAGTATAATTTATAGTCCTGGAAGCCTCAACAAGAAAAAGGTTGGGAAACCCTGATCTATACAGTCAGTGACGTGTCAGCTAACTGAATAAACTAGGTCATGACTTGTCGCCGACTATCAGTTTGCTATATGTCAGTAAACAGGCTGTACGAACCAACCATAAATGACTTCGACACGGCTAACACAATACATAAGCGTCCAAAAACTTGACTACTACACACATTGTAGGGCTACTATTTTCCCTAGCTAATACATAGAATAACGGTTATAATTAAACAAAAGTAGGCTAACTGTCAAATCCGCGACGTCTGAGAACTTAACTACTGGCTTGTAATGGGCTCAAAACTACAATCTGCATCCGCCCCGTTCCAAGATTTCCATCTACTTTTACAACATTTCTGCTGCCATCAGCTGAAATGTATCCTTCGGAAGTGTAAAACTTTTATGATGTGACGGCATGAAAGGGCGTCGCATAATAAAACTGCCAGGTGTCATAGCACAGTCATAAGCAATGCAATAAAGAGAAAATTGAGATAGTTTATGTGATGCTGCAACTTATGAAACATTCTCTTGTGGAGCATGAAATGTTTTCTTATATCCCATCGTTTTCGTCTCGCTGAATCAAGTTCAAATTTTTTTATAGTTAGATGAAATTACACGCCAGAATTCCAGGTAGCGTCTCGGACTTTCAAATCAAAACTGCTACAAACTAAGGTTGCAGTGAATAGTTAATTCGACGGATAAAGGATACTGGATATCTGGTTTGTTACGTGACCGGATAGCGGGATATCCGGCCGTTAGATAGCCGACACGATCAAAAAGGCTCGTAGGTGAATTTTCTTTAAAGTGAAGGTTCTTTCGCTAGTGGTGGCGAAAACAAGCACCAGGAATATTTTTCAAAAAAATGCCATTGATATTCAATATTTATCTGAAAACGATAGAATTAAGCGACGTGACAATTTACAAATATATGCATGATGGAAAGCAATATCCAATTTTGGCAAAACTTATCTAAGTACGGGGTCTGTTAATTAAGTGATCAGACTAATTTTTTTAAATTTTTTTATCGAATATAATTACGATTTCATATTGACACCTCAAATTAACTTCCTTCTAAAGCCACACAGCGCTGGAGACAGTTTCTTCACTCAGTGCTAGAACTCCGATACTGGAATATAATAGCCTTCAGCTGATCGGTTACAGCCGTTTGAATGATTTCGACTGCCCCAAAGTGAGGTGATTTTGTAACTTCGGGAAAAGAAAAAAGTGACACGGGTTCAAGCCAGGCGAATAAGAAGGGTGACGAGCCACAGAAATGTTTTTACTGCTCATAAATTCATTTATTGACATTGCTGCATTTTCGTGACGCAACACCCAGTTTTTCTTGATCCGATGAATGGTGGTGTGAGACAAATTTAACTCTTTCCTAATCATTCTGACTGTTAGCTGACTATCTGATTGTACAAGGTCCCTCATTCTGTCGATATATTCATCGGATCTTGAAGATAAAGGCCTTCCGCTTCTTGGTTCATCTTCAATCGACTCTCTCCCTCCTCAAAATGCCTTAAGCCACCGAAACACGTGGGCTCTTGACAAAACACTATCTACGTAGGCCCGCTGTTTTTAGAACACAGTAGAAAAAACTGTTTCATAAAAAAAATCGCTACGGACAGCCAAACGACTCGCGCGAGTTCAAACTTGTATTGATGGTGGGCCACATATTCTCCTGTCTCCCATCCAAACCCAGCGACTCCAGTGTTGCCAGATCGAACGCTAAGTTGCCCATATCATCACTTAATTTATAGACATCTTATGTATCTCGTCCGTAAAATGCGAGATTGTCTTCTAAAAAACTCGTAGTCATAAACCGTAATTAGGCCGTTAGTCAATCTTATTTAGTTACTAATTCAGTAATAATGGCGGATTTTCTCTTTATTTTCTCTTTCTGATACAAAAAAAATTGTATTTGACATACTAGTTTTTTCATTGTAGTGTTAAATAAGAAGCAAACTGGGGGTGATTATTTAAAAAGAGAGAGTAGAATAACCAGCAGAAAAGCTGTTTTGTTGTTTATCAAACAAGCTTGTGAATGCATCAATTTTTGTCAAAATAACATTTTCCTGGGTTCTTCCTATCATTAAACGTTCTATCATTTCTTCTTAAGTTCGTCTTTGGATACTTATTCTCTTGAGAATAGCTCGGGGAGCGGGTCTTCTATCAGTGTTAAGGAATGCATTTCCGCGGAATTTAAGATAACCACTCCCACTTTCTATCAGTTTCTATGCTCTCTCATTTCAATAATTAACCCCCTGATCAACTAACAGAAGTCTTCTCGTTGTGCAAATAAATTTTTTATTTGCATTTAGACAAAGTGAATCGGAAACAAGTTGCAATATGACACTTTATGCTCTCGAGGTACGGATAAATATGTACTTCGACGCACTGACAATTTCTTTAGAGCGGTTTTATTCTCCCTTGAAGTGAAAATATATCAGTTGAATAATGTAAAAATCCTTTGTTGACGAAGTTTATACAAGCCATTACCTCGACTAAAAATAATGTATCACTAAGTTTGCATGCTTGCCACAGACTATTTGCGAAACTTTGAAAGGGAAGAGGTTGACGTTGTTTATATAGACACGGAGAAGGCATTTGGTAGAATATTTTTAGGCATCCCATTAAAAATGCTGAGTTTTTTTGGGTTCCCTGATAACTTTGTATCATTGTTTATTTCTTTATCTTTCCAATAGAAGGATACTGTTTATCGCTTAGAAAGCCTGCTTGAGGAATCCCCAAGGCTCAAATCTAGGACTTTCTGTTATATATAGACGATCTAACTCTTGCCTTGCATTGTTTAAAACTATTGTTTGCAGATGACTTTTCGTTTTTTACCCCATATCTCCACAGCCACTGAACCGATTTTCAAACTCACTTACAGCTGTTTCGTCCTTGACACGATAGTATCCTTGTGTGAAAAGTTAATCCAAGTCTGAGCTATACTTTCCAAGTTATAGACGGGCCACGGATTAACGGACAGACCGACAGACGGACAGACCGAAGGAAATGAGTGACATGTTTATGTCATATAACATTCAAAAAACATAATATCTCATAATGGCGTAGTACGCAAGTAGATTGAATCAGCGTCTCTCGCTCGAAGAAGTACGTATGATTTCTGGAAATTCCATAATAAAACACAAAATGGTTATAAAGATAACTCAAAACTCACAGGTTGCTGATGTTCCCTTTTTTCCTTAAGTGGGTACTTCTGCTTACCTGAAAAGAAAGAGAATTACATTATTTTTAAATTACTTACAAAAGTACCACTCTATTCCTCATAGTCGGTTACAAGGATAGATCAAAGTTTACAAATGTGTCGCAGAACGTTTTGCTAAATATTAGATTCATAATCCTTGATTGTGCGTTTCCATGGTAACTAGTAGGTATGGTGAGTTTTATAATGATGTCCCTCAAATTGTTCTCATTACCACTAACATCTATAGAAAGAGGAGAAAGGTAATATTGGCTAATTAGTTAAGATTCGAGTACAAGGATTACAAGGATTATGAGGTCGCAACCACAACTCAAAAAAACATCAAGTCCGAAAAAACTTTGTTCAATGATCATGTGGAGTTTTAGAATTATTTTCTTCTTGAGCCAGTGCTACAAAGATGATGACTGTATGTCATTTTGGATCTATTACAATATAATAAAAAATCAACGTACAAAATTATATCTTATCATTTGAGAAAAGAGGTCCAAAAACAAAGAAAAAACGTTGATTGTTAAAAAATATCACTTTAGAATATTAAAATCGATAATGGTCAGTGTGTTTTGAAACGTCCGAAAGTAAATTAAGAATATCTAGTACGAATTGCAGTTAATGCGCATGTGTCTGATCAACGTTTCTCTTGCTTTTGCTGACTGTAAAACGGATATAAGTGGTTAGCTTGGAAGCCTAAACGCCACTGTAACCGATGTGGATTTTTTGCTTTGTAACCAAAAATCTCATGACATAAAATTTTATTATGTAATGCGACAATACAAATTGTCCTTGCCTATGGCTGTTGTAAAGGAGTAATGGGAGCATGCGGTGCAACCTCAGCTGAAAGTCCAAAGTTGAACGGTAATCTTTAGTGGCAGAAATCTGAGAAACTCATGTCGGATTGGTATAA